ATGATGTCACCGAATCAAACAGAAGCCTGTGGACAACCTGTGCTGTCGATTCATTACCGGTCTAATAAAGTTGTTCTTAACAACATCAAACTATACGCCTATCCGCCTATCCGCCGTCTCTGAGAATAATTGCAATGGATTACAGTTTTTCTGGGTACATCTGACTAACAAACACACACTGGTCCTTGTTTCGAGATTTTAACCAATTATTATGCCTTAGTTTATCGTCCAGTTAACATTTAACATACTTTAGAGAACAACTCGCTTCATGGCTGTCGCTGAGCAGACCGCGGATTCGCAGGTGTTCTTACGAGGACTCAAAAACATCTCTACGACTCGGCTGCCGTTCTTGCATCACTCGGTGACCGTATCGTCAACGGGCGCGCCCTTGGCTGTCGTACCTGAACAGGTCGCCCGTCGCCGTCGCCGTCGCACATAAGCGCAGTCCAGAACAATCATTCTCATTTGTACCGATCGTTATCGATTTGTGAAAAAGATAATCGTCGGAGACTGAAAACTGTCACAACGTCTACTGAACAGCAGATCATTTTGAGTCTCATAGGTTCTCGGATGTCGCTGGAAATTCACTCTGGATACCCTATAGCAAACTCTTATGTTCTCGTTTGTATATCACCTCGTTTGCCTGTTGGATAAGAAAAAATGCACCATTCAAAATTTAATGTTCTCCAATTTTCTTGTGTTTCATCGTACAAATGAATAGTTGTGAGCTGAAGACCGCGGAAAAACCAACGTTTTATGCTTGATCGTAGAGGTTTGCTCGTCTAGAATGAAAACTGCATTCTTTTCTGTTTGTCTTCGAAGTTTGGACCCTTCATTAGCAGACTCTGCCCTTTCCACATGAGGAAGTACAGTATGAGTCAATCCTGAACCTCTGCCTTCCTCACTGAGACGTTATATGCTTGAAATTCATAGTAGTACAAATCTCAGAGAAATAACTTTTGAAGTAAACGCTGTGAAGAGTGCAGAGGACGTCCAAATTGGTCATCTCGAGCTTTTCCACCATCATTTTAGCCCCATTTCCACGTTGACTGGAGGGAATGGATTGTTCCCGTATAAGTCTGCCATCAGTTTTTCAAACCTTGAGGGAGGGTGGGTTTGACGAGTCCGAAACGCGGTTGACCCACTGCTTGAGTAGTTTGCTCCTTTCTCGTAGTGAATGGCATCACCACTGCTGCGCTACCCGAATCCTTTTCTCTATATTTAATTTATTATTCCGTTTAATGGCAATACGTGGAATAAGACCACCATCATGGACTACGACTGCGAGAGAAAGTTACGAATAGCATATGTGATGGGGTCCGCACAGCTCGTGAAGACGGACCGTCCAAGTATCCAAGTAAGTAAGTTAATAGCAATAATATTATGAGAAACTATATAACAAAGCTTGGCGGACTTATACGGGAACAGTCCATTCCCTCCGTCTACGCGGAAATGGGGCTAAATGGCGGAAAAGTACGAGAAATAACTCTGTTGAATATCAAAATGTTGTTAAGAACAAGCATAAAAAGTTTAAAGTACAGTAGTAATACAGTGAGAGAGCACATCTGGTGAATTACGTTGTAAAAAGTCCGCTTCTCAATATCTCTCCGTTCGTTCTTATCTTCTGCTTTAATCAGAGCGCTTTGGTTTCGCAATACCTTTTACGTTTCGAAGGGTGATTTGCTTATGTCGAACACTTCTTGAGCTGAGTGCTATTAATTTTTTGCACTTGAAATTCCGTGTGGTTGTGAGAGGTCATTGGTTCTGTGCAGTCACCCAAACTAACAAAAGACCGATCGGCATCCGGACGAGAGCACCTACTTGGTGGCCCTACGAGGATGGCCAACCTCTTCAGAAAGTTGTTTGGAGGAGCACAAAAACAGCAACAGACAAGAAAGGACTCGATTACAGGAAGGAACAAGACATTGGTAGGTGAATGATTTCAGAGAGTCTTTTTGCCGTGAAATTTGGTGGGTTGCTACAATGAGTACGAAATGCTCTATTTTATGTATTGGATTTATATAGGCGCTTAAAAGTGAGAAAATGTTTTGCCATAGTCGATACCCTTTAGAACAAAGAAGGGCTGTTATTCCGAAATCTTTCGTTTACGAACATTCATCCGATGCTGAGTTTTCAGAATGTTCCGTACCTGTCTCGACTTGAGGGTACGCACCTTGAACCAGGGCAGTCACTCATTGTTCGAGGAGTGATAACTGGTCAGTTTTCTAAGCTCTCTAATTAGTTTGCTGTTTGTTTTTTTTAGCACGAGTCAGGCTATCCTTCTTATTCGACCATGGTAATGACGGCGGTCGCTTCAGAACCTTTTCTTCCAGCTTAAACTTATGATGTACGCTTTCCTGTTTCTTTCCGTTTTCCTAAGATTGATCATTCGCATAAATTTCCCAATGTTTTCTAGAAGAATAAAAAAAAAGTTCGTAGCCTGTTCGTTGCGACAATAGACTCATTTAAACATCCCTCTTCATGTTTTTTCTCGCAATCATGAGATCCATCCATCTTCTCGGCATCTTATAAGTGATCCGATACTTACAAATGTAAACCGTGGCATAGCAGATGTCGAATGTTTCTTTTTCATCCCGGTCTTAATAAATGCCTCGAAGACGTGAAAAGGAAATCCAGTATAGGACTCCAACATGGAGCCTTTCGTAATTTCTCAATGCAGAAGTTGTTCTTCTCACCACCGCTTATTTGATTTTAAAATATCATTGAGTAACAGAACTCTATGGGCACACGTGGCGCAGTGGTTCGAGGCGCCCTGCAACACACACGTGGAATCGATCCCGCGCCCATAGCGCGCCAAGCCTTCCATCCCTGGGGGTCGGCAAATTGGTACCAGACAGTCTGCGAGGATAGCACCACTGGTTCAGTATATAGGTAAGCCACAGCGAGTCATTGTAAAGGCCCGATATGCATCCAATCATCTCCAAACGACGCTTAATGAAATCGAATGCATGGCACATCCCTCAGGGTTTGATCAACGCCGAGAGCTTTCTCCTTTTAGCTTTTTTAAAGGGAATCTGTGTTCCTAATAACAAGAAGTGTGTTTACAATGTGTTGTAATTGCACTATTTATTCACAATAGCTGACGTTTCGGCGTTCGTCTTCTTCAGACCCTAGAAATGTCAAACTGACACGTAATCTACTCATTTAAACGCTTTCATAATCTCAACAGATGGAATTTAATGCATAAATTTCCACTGGCATAGTAAACAGCCTCTTTCATACACTCGAGACTTTGCTGTTTGCAAGTTTTCCAGTTATTCGATGGAGCCCAGCAGCACGCGGCCTACATGAGTGAGGAATGTGAATTCCGCTTAGGTCAAAAAACTATGTCTTTGTACCCTATGTGTGATAGTGTTTTTGTGTGGCTTTAAGTTTCCCATCTAGATACTCTTTTATACTGATGCGGAATGGTGTACCCGATTTGCCAACGTATTTGTCAGCACACGCTTCATAAGCGATTAGGTACACTATACCCGAACGCATGCCATCATCGCCTAGGTGATTTTTTGATTAATGCCGAGGTTAATAGAAAATCGGTTCTAGGATTCGCTATGATATGGTTAGTGGTGCTTTGGGTGGATTTTTGCTTCCTGGCGTAGTCAATTCCAGGATGCTTCGATTCGCTCTCGAACGCTCCCATGGTGATTCACAAGTTGCCTTGTCCACATGGAGCGGTGTTGTGCTAGGTTTAGAATTTCTAATATTCTCTTCTACGTCTCGACGGATTTCATCTACTTCAGGATCTGCAATGGTCACACCGGTATTGAAAATACTCCTCTAGTCGTTTTCTTAACTTGACAGTAGCCTATGGCTCGAACCTCGATCACTGAATGAAGAGATTCACAAACACATCCTGTCTTAGAACAGCATGAAAGGAAAAATGAATAAAAACAAGACCTTGGCAAATTGCAGTCGTCTATATAGGTGTTCCACTATTTTAATGTCCGTCTTCCACCACGTTTCATTCGAAAATCGCTAATTACTATGTCATGGGATTCTGTACCGTTCCAAAGCTCTTTTATTCCTTCTTTACTCCACTTGTACCTTCTGTAAGCGCCCTCTTGAAATTCCTTCAGAAATGTTTTTTAAGAACTTCCATTCAACTTCCAGAACTTCCCACTTCCAGAGCTTCCACTTTCCAGAACTTTAAAAACTTTTTTTAGAGACTTGTTTTTTTGATTGTTGAAGCCTCAGTTCTGTAGGATGGAGAACAGAGGTTGTAGAATGACGGTCGTTTCTTCTTTTTCGAACATGCCGACATCCTCCCGTCAATTCGGAGGAGAGTTTAATTTGTTCGAGAGTCCTTCACATCTTCTCCCAACCACTTTTTTCTACTCACTTCCGAACCCATTATGCCGTGCGATTATTCTTCTACTGTGGTTTTAGTCTCTTTTTCTTCAACAGTTTTTGTGATACCTTTTTCATTCAAATTCTGAGGCGCATCTTTGCTCAGCCTTCCCTCGCTTTTCCTAATTATAACCTGTTTTCTTGAAACGACAGTATAGCATAGCAAATATAGAACAGTGTGGGCGTTTTTGTTTTACCGATTAGCGGCAAATTGAAGGAAAAATGTCAGTTCCAATGACTTCATCTCCTCGTTGTTTTCAGTCACATCACCTCTGCGGGGAGCGAATGCGACCGGATTCCTGTTTGTTGTTTTTCTCTAAAGCTGAAATCTTGAATGAGAAAGACAGCCCCGGTGAAGAACCGGTTCGCCACAGGGGCTCTCACCCAAGTTCATTCAGCCTTAGGCAGACATGTAGATCTATGCAGATTACTCATGATGATTGTTCAGTTCATTCGAATGGTTGTACAGCTGTCGCAATGGTCGCTTAAAAGGTAGTTCAAAGACCACATGATGTTCGGACCGACGAAAGCCTAATTCCTTCCTATTTTCAACATTGCACCCAAGGTTCTCACGGAGTGTTCAAAAGCCAAAAATGATTTTATTCAACTGCGCTAATTTCTATTGTCAGGTTATGCAGCTGATAAAAGGTTGGTCTCGGTATCTCTTACAGAAATTGCTTCACTGCTCGTTTTCTTGTTGAGTGTTCAATTTGAACTGATTCACTGAAGGCCTATTCTGCTGTCGGGATAACAGAACTGATACGACGAAACTGTATGGGAGCAATCTGAATTGAGTACTCAGTGTGTCCACTCGACACTGCTGTGAGGGGACTATGGCGCGAACACCTTGTCAGCGATAACTTTTTCTCTACGTTGTCAAAGCCACGACCATCCCACTCATTTTACTAATGCTTGGAGTTGTTGTTTCTATTCTATGATTATCATCATAATGTACCACAGGTGAAGGATCAGTCAAAAAATCTGAGTTTTCTCTCAAGCTCTTTGTACCTGCTCTAAAAAACCCAGGGTTCCGCATTCTGTCATGTTGTGCTTACAGGCACCGATTCATTTGTATTGAATCTCACCTCTGGTCCTGTTGTGGAGTCCAACGGAAGTGGAGAGGTTAGTTCCGGAAGCTAGATTCTCTTCATCAGTCGGAAGTTTTCTTTTAGGCACTCAGCGATCGCCTTCTTTCCATTCGATGTGACATCGCAAAAGGCAAGGTCTGCTTCAACGCTTGTGTAAACGGCGAATGGGGAAAGTGAGATTATTGAATTTGATAGAAGCGGATCCTCTTCACAGTGGCTGTAATATTCTGCTAGCACATACATTATCTGTTATAATTTTATTTTCACGTAGTTTAGATGACTTTAATATCAGGGAAGGAGATATCAAGCACCGCTTCAAACTCCATGGCGAGTTCGACATCAGAGTGCGCTGCTTTGAGGACCAGTTCCATGTGCGTTTAGCGATTGTTTGAAATGCAGTGCTTGCTATGGTCGTTTTCGACGGAACTGTTACGGGAACGTATTACTTCTAATTTGATCTATTGATTTGACTATAGTAAATTGAGCCGTGAGGGGTAGGATAGCACAATGGTAGTGATGTCCGTCATCACGAACATGGAGCGATTTTGATTCCGCACCAGGAAACGCAAGGCTCTCATTCCTCCGGGGTCGGAGAATTGGTACTGAACTTATCTGGGGGAAAAAAATCACAACCTGTAATCCAGTTGGGAACGCTCAAGCCCGGCTGTTTCATGATTCTAGAGAGAATTGCTCGACCAGCATTCTACGACATTCAAGACGAGATGAAATTCCTCAAGCAGCAACCGAAGCCAAACGTAAAGTTGGAAGATCTTCGTGGATAATGGATGCGAGGAAACGAATTGAGTGTGAGAAGTGCTTGGATCCGCACAGTAGACGTGAAGACGGGTCGAATAAAATAAAAATGAAAAAAATTAAGTTGTGGCCCGAATACGACGGTCTATAAAGGTGATCTTGACCGGCGCTTGTATGGGTTGCAGAGTACGAATGAAAAGTCTTCGCATCTTACAATTTCTTGAACCAAGGTTCATTTACTTAAGTGCTGACTTTGTTCAGATTTACGTCGAGCACCGGCTGGTCGCAAAGTTCGCCCATTACGTTCCAATGAGCAGGGTCTCGCACGTATACGTGAATGGTGACGTCTTACTCTACTGTGTCTCGTGGGAGGGGAAATTTTATGTAGGTGTACTCTAACTTCAAAATTTTATTCGAGTTCCACATTCTCTCTTGGTTCTACTTATGTGTACATTTTTAGACAGTTCAAAAATTGGAGTTCTCAGAGATCAATATTAATAGCATTTAAAGACTAACTGATATTGGTAAATATTAGAAATTCTCGCTTCTTTTAAACGTTAACCACGAAGAAACCATGAAGCCTTAATCATCTAGAGATGAAGATAAGTTGAGTGCAGTCTCGGCTCTTGCGGCATTTGCGGAGCTCTCGCAGGGCAGTTATGGAGTTTATTTGTTGGAGGCGACTCCTAACCACCCCCCATGTACTTTCCATTTAGTTCATTTCTGGTTTTTCGCTTAACCACCTTGTTGAAAACAGTCTGCATATAGTACACCCACGCACGGATGCATGAGTACAGCTAATGCATAGAAGAGGTACACGTCAGTCCGGTACAGCAGAAAGAGTTTGTCCAGATTCCACAGTCCTAATCTACAGGCGTCTTTGTGAAGCAACATGACCGTTTTTGCCCAGCACTTCATTCGCCACCTGTGGACGCGCCATGCTGCGTAGAAACTAACCACCTTCACAGGTAATTCACGACATGCTTACTTGTTTTAATGCTTCATACTTGAATAGTGGGTCTTCGTAAGGAATTTTGCCACGCCTAACACGCTTTCCATTTGACTGGATGTAACTGTTCTGTGAACAAAGCAGGAGGATTCGAACCTGAAAGCTCAACTCAATCCAAATAAAGCCCAGAAATTGGGCGATTAATATTAATTAATTAAGGATTGGCTTAGCTGCAAGCAAACAAGTCTTTCACCTTGAATTGTCTGCAACCAATATTCTTCAAATTCCTTGAAGTACAATTAGGTTTTTTTGATGAAGTAGTGTATTGAAGTATAGTATTGAAGAGTTGAAAGAAGAATTCCATTTGGAAAGATGAAGAGAGATTAATTAGGTGGTTACTTCAGCAAATGCCATATGTGGCCGACATTCCTGGGAACTTCTATGTAGGACGGCGTCTTTTTGTGTCTGGTTTGATGCTTAAGGCTGCTAAACAGTTTCAAATTGACCTCTATGCCGGGTCTGATATAGCGTGCCGAGTCATAGTGGCGCTTCCGTCGAAGGTTAACATTATTTTGACCAAAAGCCATCTTTCCGTCAGTATCGCAACATGTTGCAGAAAGTTTTGCGTACAACTCGACTGAACGATCACTGGGAACCGCAACTACGAATTGGTGACTCAGAGTTCTTATTCAAGAGAAAACAAACTTTCGATTTGCTGCTCTACTGCGGTGAAGACCGATTTGAGGTAGGTAGTCTCGATCTTGCGCCCTTAGTTTTCATTTGTCGTCAGATTTTTAACGCACGCATGACGCGACGATGTCGAAACAATGTATGGTTGAAGAACTAGTGTGATAATGATAGATGGTCGTTCATTTCTCCACGGTGTTACTTCGTAGTAACGACCGCGCTCAAAGAAATTGCCCTTAGTGAAAGTTCTTTGAGCCGAAACAAACACAGTGATGCGAAACGGACAGCAATTTCCACAGCCAAAAATAAAACACAAGAATTGAGATATGAGAATCACTAGAATTACTTACTTAACTTGCTTGGACGGGCCGTCTTCACTAGTTGTGCGAGCCCTGGGTCATCTATTTGTTTCTTTGCCTCTCAATCGCCGTCTAAGGTGGTGGTCCTCGGGGACGTCCACTCTACATCCCTTCTTGTCCATCATCAACAATATAAGCAAAAAGTGGGCAGAAAATAGAGGAAAGAATGAAGAACCAACAAAAAACTTCCATTCGAGTCGTTTCCAATTTATTGACATGCTTAATGTACTTCTTGGCAATACTAATGAACGGATCTACTGCGTGTTCATTGGTTACAGACCAGCACTGTTGGAAAGGGACCGGTCATTTCGAATTATTTTCGGTATTCTTAAAGATTTTGTGTGGGGTTTTTTCTTTGTAGTCTTCTCCATCATCCTGAACTTGTTCTTTATCCGCAGACTTGCATTTGGAAAGTAAAAAGTCTAGGACGTCTCCTTTCCAACCGAATATTCTCCCTAGATGACATTGTTAGCATTCTCCGCTTTCCACCAGTGTGAAGTTTCTGGTGTAAAAAGATAATCTCCTATATCTTTTGCCCACTTTTTACTTGCTTAGGTACTTGGATGGCCATCGTCACTGGTTTTGAAGGCTGCAGCATAATTTCCAAGTTTTGGCGGTTTAGCTATTGCGGTTCCCTGGAGTCCCGAGGTCACCCTGCCCAAAGTCTGTCTCAGATCGTCACCATCATAGACAGTCGCCGTCCTTTTGGATGAGAAGAAAATTTGTCACTATGCGACTATTTTAATACCAGGACAGTGGTGGATCCTGGTATTGGTTTACTCTTAGCTGGGTTTCCTGATGGAAACGCCGGACTCCTTTTCAACTTGGGAGACCCTGCCAAGAGGACGAATCTTCTCGCCATACATCGCAATCCGACACCCAGGAACACCTCCAAGCGGCGATGAGGCGGCAAACTGCTAGGAGGTGCATGGTTTTTACATTACACAATGATTTAGGATGATGTAAAATTGCAAGAATAAAGTGGTGATTTACTCCCTCCAGAAGATTACAGCTTCTCGAGCAGTGTGTGCCTAGAATATTACATCTTTCATGATAATATCATGATGCCATTGTTGGTCATTTGAAACATAATGCATGTCACCATTTACACCACAATTTCTCTTATTAATTGGTGAATGCAACTAAAGTCTTAACTCTAAAGTACCAATTGTATGCCTTAACCGCCAAGTAGACCCCTCTCGTTCGTGCGAGATGCTTCAGCACTAATTGTTCTAGGGTCTCAGTAAAGGAGTCCAATTCTTATCTGTTTTCTTGATGAGCCGACGCAATGTTGCTCTATCCTTCGTTGACGAAAAAAAGCGATGAAAAACTTTAATTATTGGGTTGATGGTCTTATTCTTGCGTCTTGATATTCCATGGAACCCAGACTCTAACTGCTCTTGTTCATCAGTTATGTTTAAGACGCACCACGCTTCAGCTGTCTTGATTTTTGACCTCTAGCGTGAGTGGCAGCGCCTCTGATCAGTGGCCATCGTTAGACATCAGATCAGACATGGGAATCGTTGATAAACACGTATTTAGAGACCTTTCCACGTGCAGAAAACTGATGTCGTACCGTATTAGTTAATGGACGTAGAGTGATTCCATTCCATTCAGTGGAATATTCATGAGCGCTTAACTGAAAGTGGACTCTGAACTGATAACATTAGGCCCTTGAAGTGGAGAAATTCTGAAATACCCAAGCACGTGTAAACGTTGGTAAAATACGCATCGGTGGAAACGTCAAGCCAAGCTGCGATATAGTCTCGATCACAAGAAGTCTCACTGGGACATCACAGAACATGACCTCGTGGTTTTTTCTCTACTGCTTTGTAGGGATAGCGAAGTTAAATGCTCTATTTCCTAGTGTTTGCATAGTGTTACACATTTCGAATTAGTTCTTCCCAGATTTATAGTTCTAAATGTGCCCTTACAATTGATATCCACTCACGGTATTCTAGTGCTCGGGCGTAGGCTAACTAGTTCTCAGGTTTGAAATTTTCACATCACATTATAGGCGTTCTCAGAGTGATGTGGAGTACGTCCTGACGACGACGAAAACGATTCCGTGCTCTCGAAAGAGTTGTCAGTTGATGAAAACAGGCTGTGCGTGTGGTCCACCTGGGCCGATCGTTGACAAACACAACGATGTTGCTCACCAAGCAATCTTCAACATGTCCAGATACCGAATACGCATGTGCTATTGTAATTAGGGCCAAAGGCTTGCTGTAGGTGTAGATTAAGAAAACGTTGGTGGCCACTCAACGCAAAATGGATGGTTAATGTAAATTTGGTGTACTTGCATGTGGAAGAACATTGGATATAACATTAACTTTTATTTGCTGTCTACTACAATTTTTTATGGCAGGCTATCTTGCCAAATACAACCGCAATGGTGCTGAGATATTTGCAAAACTTCGGACCGCAGGTGTCTATGGTGGTGAACGAACGCGCGCTATTACCCTTTCCACGGGCTAACACGTTCACCACCACACCATGCGGGTCCTTCGTTTCGCCTTTTTCTCAGCTAGTTCTATCGATTGCTGATGGCACTGAGTTTTGCAAATATCTCAGCACCATTGCCGTTGTATTAGATATAATATTAAAGGGTACCGTCCTATGCTTAAAAATGGTCGCCTAAAGATTGAACTGATACGACTGCGAAATTAGGATTTGTTCGCACATTCGACTTCAACACGTGCGCAAAATACTTGGCCAGCGTTGCTGGGAAGGTCTGATTCTAATACCTTTATGAGAACAAGTTAGCAGTGGCCAGCAGACCTTTCGGAATCCTGTGCCTCTCTATTCCAGTTTTCTTCAGATGTTGGTGAACGACTGCCCATTCGCCAATTTCCCGCATCGCATTCCAGCCAGTCAAATCAATAAACTATCCATCGAAGGTGACATCAGCCTTCTCGGTGTCCATCTAAAGTGAACTGAAGCCGGATCGGAACTTCGTCTAAGCTGAGGAAACGAACAACCGCTTTCAACGCAGTTTTTATTTCTTTTTTTGTAGCCATAGTGTTTTTCCAAATTGTCCATTCTTTTTCGGAATAGGAGCATTCCATGAGTTCACATTAATAACTTCATAATATGCCACAGCATAATAAAAAAATGTGTTCTATTTTGTCTTAAATTGAATTCGGAGTGCTGAGCGAAAACGTTGTGAGTTGAAAAACGTGTGAGACATCTCAGATCAACCAGATATTTGTTTGGAGCACACAAAGAATAAGGGAGTCCTGAAAAGCAGTAGACCGAATTTTTCGCGAAAATTTACCACCACGTATAAAAAACTGTGTAAAGGCGTTCAGTGTTACGCTTGATTGTTCAATTAGGTACTGCCAGTCAAGATGCAGTTCTTCACATTCAGTACTGCTCTACGCAAATTCAAATAACTTATTCTTAACCTTTTCATTTACTTCCTGTTCTTTTTAACGGCAGGGTATTAAGCGAAATGCAACCACAAGATTGCTGAGATATTTGCAAAACTCCGTACCGCAGGTGTCTGCGGTGGGTAACGAACGCTCTATTGTCCTTTCCGGGTAGAACTAGATGAGAGACGGGCTGGTAGTGAACGCGTTACTCCCCGAAAAGGACAATAGCGCGTTCGTTCCCCATGCAACATGCGGTCCGGAGTTTTGCAAATATTTCAGCATTATAATAGTTATATTTCATCAAATAACTTAGTTCAACATACTATTAGATAAATATGTTTAGCGATGGATATGAACACTGACGTATTACTCACTAGATGCATTGTATGCCACGTTTATACGTGAGAAGGGGGCAAATTGGACGAATTGCATTATACCCTATGCTCCTTTTTCAGCGATTCCTTTTGCTATACAGAGCTGTTTTGCCGCGCTTTTTACACTCATCCTACAACTTGTCAAATACAAATATTATGTCGGGCATGATGCTTGAAAAGCTGTTCTCTTTACGGAATAACTTTGCTAAAATCCTGAGATAGCACAGTCGTTGGTGTTGCCGCCGATCAGGAAGCAAAGGCGCTAGTTCGACCCATGCTACAACGCCCTCCTCTAATGCATGTGGAAACGCCTTAGCGCGGATATCTCCAAGATTTCAAGAAGAATTGACTCGACCAGCTTTCTACGATAACCATAAAGAAGACGAAATCATCAAGCAGCAAGTGAAATAGCTTGCGAAACGTTCGAAGACCAATGCGGGCGATGAAATCTAAGAAAACGAATCGAACGCGAGAACCACTGGGATCTGCATAGTAAATGTGATAACTGGTCATGTAAAAATTAAAAAATGCACCATAAAGATTGTCGCTGGTTAAAAAGTGCAGAAATGTCGCCAAGTAAATCTTGGGGTTTTGACACTTGGGCACATCTTTTCGATATGATGAGATGATAAAGGAGATGCAGACTTCTTCGGAGTAGCTCGATGTTCACATAGTATGCGTTCGCTAAAGGAATTCGGCAAAGCTAGGCGCTCGAAACAGCTACCAAGTATTATCACAGCAGCCCTCTGCTAGTGTTTAAAATGTTGTGCTCAAGACATTTATTCAGCAGTCTGAAATTTGAAATTTGTGCATCCATACGGTTTACAAATCTTATATAGAAATAAGGGGCGCGTGTGGGGTAGTGGTCGGAGGCGCCCTGCAACACACGTGGAATCGATCCCGGTGCCCATAGCTCACCAAGCTTTCCCTTCTTCCGGAGGCTCGCAAATGGGCACCAGACTTGTCTGGGAGGATAGTAACGCTGGCTCGATACCACCATAAAGGACACATATGCATCCAATCACCTCCAAACGATGCTTAGTGAAGTCGAATGCGTGGCGCATCCCTCAGGGATTGGTCAACGTCGAGGGCTTCTATACAGAAATAACTACGCGTTTCATTTTTTACTTGCAATTAACAATCTTCGCGCATAACTTTCAATTCTAACATACAGTTAGCAATCTTCGCATAGAACTTTGTACCAAAGTTGTACACTTTGTATGAAAAGCGTGAAAACATTTTAAACGGGAATGTTTTTCACAAGGACCACTTCCATTGCTAGCATATCTAACGTGTTTTGCGGTGAATTCACAGTTGTGCCTTGATGTCGTCTTGTAACATATTACAAATCACATCCATGTTCTTGGCCCACTCGTGCTGCTTTGTTCAACGAAATAAGTTAGCGGGTCCCCAGTCGGAGCAGTCCGGTTTTGAATTTAGCGCAAGCATACATCTACCTTGAAGGCATTCGAGGAGTTTGCGCACTTGCTCATTGTAAGCCATCCGTGTTTTCACCTAAACAAGTCCTAGTAATCAGGTGGAAGACGAACCGTACGTACCTAAACCGTAGGTAGAAAAAATCTTGTCTAAACTATGAAAAAGCAGATGCGTGCGTACCATTTGCTAGTCTCCCTAACATATGGACAGATAAACCTCCTTATGATCGTCTGTGTCTACGAACAGCTTCCTTTGGTTGTTCTCCTAAATCACTTGCAGCTTTGATGAATTGGGAGAAACTGTCGCGCCATTAACAACGGACATCATAGTAATACCCCTCTTTTCCTTAAACTTCAGCACCACATCACTGCTTCGATTCCTTTATGCTATCCAGTATCTTCTAATTCGGCTTCTGGTGGATGGTTTGCCTAGAAAATCCTCCCTTCCTGTTTTTCCTACTGCTGTCCGTAAGATTCCTCCTTCCACAAAGTAAGTCTTCAGCCAGGGGAAGACTTAAGACTTGTGTCCAAACTGTCGGCATTGGGATATCTTCTCTCATCCAGCAAATAATACAAACCCGTTATTACTGTATATCTCCGCACGCCACATTTCCAATCATTGAAAAATTTCTTCAAAGATATGTTAAACTTTCCATCTACCGCCTATTATTTTTCACAGCAGGGTATTTATTATGTGGAATACACACAATGATGCTGAGACATTTGCAGAACATGGGCCGGTGGCCAGATTCGAACACGCGATTATCCTTTCAGAGGATTCACGTATTGCCCACTACATCACTGAGGCCCTTGTGACCTCCCCTCGGCCAGTTTTACTCTAACGGTGCTATCAGCGATCATGTGTTCGTGTCGTTACAGATACGATTCGCTTCATTCTTGATAAGTAAACATGAGGTTGTTATTGTGCAATTTATTCACAATAGTTTGCGTTTCGACGGATTTCACCTTTTTCAGAGTCTGGAAAGAACAAGTTAACTGGGAGCAATGGTAAAGATGCCATTCATAACGAGAATGCTGCTGGTTCGACCTCGCTCTGGGCTCACCAAGCTTCTCATCCCTGTGGAGTCGGGGACTTGGTGCCGGGTTTGCCTGGGCATAATTCACTTCTTCAACTCCACAGAGGAACGCTGTGGCATAGGTGTACAAGGATTTCAAAGTCATTCATAAAAAGAGCTAAAAATCCTCAAATGGCAGCCGAACTCACTTGTGAGATGTCTAAAACCATCTAGGATGGTGTATGCGAGGAAAGAAATCAAATGCAAGAAGTAGAGTGTTGTCCTCAGTAGATATGAAGATGGGTCATGTTAAATAATAAACAAAGATGGTAGCAACTTAAATAAATGTTTGCACTACTGAAGATACCTCAATACCTTTTCAATAAGTTGCAAAATATTTCCAAACGTGTACAGTAAGGCAGTTGGGCAGTGAACTATCATAAAACCTAGTAAATAGTAGCCTATATAGATCTACATCGATGTGGCTAAGTTTCTTCAATAACTATGTGTGATGCAGTCAACCCCTCAAGTACTCAACCTAACGAAAAAGTACCTGCTGTTGCTGAGAAACTGTCTGAAAGCTTAACACCTCATCGTGTCTGAGAGGTGCTGTTGAATATCGGACTGCGATGTACAGCGAAGGGTTCTTCGCCCAGGAAGGTCTCTAAAATAGAGAAGAATACCGACATTTCCATTCGGAGGCCAAGCGAGGAAAAAACCAATATCGGGAATTGTCACCATCCAGGTACCCGTCTAGTCGCAAGGTGGCAAATCTCGCTCTGATTCACATGGGCCTCAGAATGCCTCGGCTGGTCACCACGTGTGAATTGCTTTGGCTAGCCCGACCTCTTGAATGCAGGAAACCACATTGGCTAAACAAACAAAAATCCACCTCCAGTACGCGCAGGCCCTCCCGTCTACGACGTCGGACGGTGAGACAACCGGTGACAGCGATGAAATCTTGAGTTGCACAGGGAGTCAATAGAAAGGGAAAGAACGAGTACGACCATGAAACATCATGGAGATTGCCTCTTGCTGTACACCTCTACCGCCAGAACAGCCTCTTCAGATGCCGGCCTTACCGCTCTTCTTGAAGTTGTAGATCGCACCAAATTCTATGTGATCGCTCTAGAAGGAAAGAAAAGCACAAAGATCGATACATCCCAGTTAGGTGAAAAAACCATTGCCACTCGTGGAGGGAAATATCGCTTGCAAAACGTGGGAAGCGTCGACTTTGCGTACACCCATCTATCGCTCATCTACTCACTTCATAGGAAGTTTCTTCACCGCGGTGGCTACTTTTCATCTCCAACGTGGGCGTCAAAGGAAAGCCAGTATCATTAACTGTCACTCACCAACTTGTGCAGCTGATGAGAGCGAACTGAACACACTTCACGAGCACTGGAAGAAGTAATCTGCAACGAAAAGTCCTTCCACAGATTCGTTGTTGTAGACTTCTATGTCGGATTAGGAACGGCCAACGAAAATGAATACAGGATAAAAATATTACGAAGAAAGAAAAACGTAGTGAGCATAAAAGCGGTCCTGTAAGACTTCCCTCCGCTGTGCTTCTCTTTCAAGGGAATCCATATTTTTCGATAAAGGGGGAAACCTCCGATGAACATGGGACTCTCCTAAAGTCACTACTAATGCGGAGATCGATCTCATTCTCATGAACATGAACGTGTTTCTTTGACACCTCAGTGGTAACTGGATTCCATAAAGGATTTGGTCA